GGAGGACTTTGAAGAAACCCAAGGAGTTGAGGGGTGTGGGGCGGAAAGCGGAGGTACGAACTGCCGCAGGGCCCCTGTGTCTCCTCGAGGGCGTCTGGCAAGGGCAGGACTTGAGCCGATTGAAATCAGTTGGTCGTTGGGGGACTGTATGCCCCTCAATGCCATCCTTGCTTTGAGACGGGACCAAACGAATCGCCGATTTAGTCCAGTTAGGGACACAGACATGGGGAGACCAGTGGAGAGAGACGAGGACGTGGGGAGACAGAGAGACAGACACAAGAAGAACAGAGTCGTCCCCCCGCCCCGCCCCCCCCAACGCTCACCTCATCCTGGTCCCGCATGGCGTTCAGCTGCTCCAGCTTCTTGGCCCAGTAGCGCGCTTCCTCCTCAGGGATGTCTGGAAGCGGAGCCCCGGCTGTGAGTCTGGAAGCCCGCCCTGCCCCTCAGCCTTCACCCAGTGCACCCTGCAGGCCTAGGGCCTGGTCTCAAGGGGGTGGAGGAAGAGGAAGGGAGAACAGGGCGAGCTCCCATCCCTCCCCGCCCCAGGCCGCCTTGGGAATGAACGGTGGGTGGCCGAGGAGAAGCTCGTGGCGTCACAAAGGTGGGGAAGCCACGGGTCCTCGGAAAGACGGTACGGAGATGACTGAGCTGGGTCCAAAAAAGCAAGAGGAGCTTCTCTGTGTCTGCCTCTGTCTCTCCTCGTATCCCCAGCTCACCAAGGGCCAGCCCAGGACAGCTCAGACCCAAGCCCCATGGGTCAAGAAGCAACTGGCTGCCTGCTGGTGACCTAGAGGGCCTGGGACGTGCTCTGCGCACGGCAGACACATGGCCCGCTGCCTCGCTGCACCTGCGAAACTCTCTCTTCTGGAGAGAGGAAACTTCATCTTCAGAACGAAGGGCGGCCTGAAGCCACCCAGGCCTGGCCATTCTCCTGGGCCTGAGGAGGGTCCTGTGCCCCCCACACTCACCTAAAGGCAGCTCGAAGCGGGTGTCAAGGAGGATGCGGTGGAAGGTGGGGTCCTTGGTGCCGCAGATCTCGCTGTCCGCCATGATGACCTGAGAGTCCAGTGTTAGCCACTCTCCAGGGCCCTCCTGGGGGTTGGGATGGGGTGACAGGGCCCAAAGTGACACAGGGTGGAGCAGGGATCTGCCGCACGCCGGCCAGTGGGCCCCCTAGTCTCACAGAAGATCCCCTTTGCCTCACCTCACTCTTACCCCGAGAGCAAGGGTCGTGCCCCACTTTACAGATGAGGCAACTGAGACTCAGAGAGAAGGTCCCAGTCCAGGGCCACGCGGTAGGTCAAGGACGCAGAGAGAAGGCCCTGTGGGGCCAGGTAGCGGGGGTCTGAAGCTCGCGTCGCTATGCCTCATCTCTGATGAGGCGTATGTGGCCCCCGCTTCGAATAAAAGCCCTGAAGCCCAGCCAGGGGAGAACCCCCACCCCAAGCGAACAAACCAGACCCGCCCTCACAGGAGACAGAGCCAGGCACAGGCACCTCCAGCCCAGAGAGTCAAGGGCAAAGCCAGAGGAAGGGAGGGGGCAGGGGCATCCCGAGGGAAGTTAGGGAAGACTTCCTGGAGGAGAGCACATCGGAGCTGGGCTTAGAGGGTGATGGAGAGGGTACTTGAAGCCCAGGGAACAGCACGTGCAAAGGTTCAGAGGCCATCTTTGGGGCCTATGAAGGGTGGAGGTTGGGGTGTGGGGGGAGCTGAGGCTGGCAATGTAGGCAAGTGCCATCAAGAAGGCCTCTCAGTGCCTGGGGCGCCTGGGTGGCTCAGTCGGTTAAGCGTCCGACTTCAGCTCCGGTCATGATCTCACGGTTTGTGGGTTCGAGCCCCGTGTCGGGCTCTGTGAAAAAAAAAGAAGGCCTCCCAAAGGAGATGGGCAGAGATGGCAAGAGAAGGTCCCAGGGTGGTAAGATCCCCCTGGGTTCAGCATGAAGGGGCTGAGGGGAAGGGGTGAGGCTTAAGGCCAGGGGGCCAGGGAGGAGGCCAAGCTTATGGTCTACCACCTCCGGGGCTGGTGCAGCCTTCCCCCTGCACAGAGTGCTCATTACCCACAATGTGTCCCTTCTCTCTCTTCCATCGGAATACATCTTCAGCAGGGCCACGGCCTATGTAGCTTAAGACTACCTTTCCCAGACTCCCTTGCAGCTAAGGGTCCGCACGACTAAGTTCTAGCCAATAGGCGATGAGTGAAGTGCGGTGAGCCTCTTCCAGATGAGGCCCTTAACCAAGAGGGTGAGCCCCCTCCCTGGCCACCTTTTCTTCCCTTGATAGCAAAGCAGACGTAACGGAGATCCTCCAGCAGCCGTCCCTGGCTGCACAGAGAGAAAGGCAGAGCAACAAGATGGAAGTTTAGACCCTAGTGACTTTGGAGTCACCATCACAAACGTTGTGGGCGGATGGAGATACGCGTCCATCGTGTTTAGGCCACTGGCCTCTGGGCCCCTCCAAGGCACTCTTCCCCAACCCTTGACCCACCACTCACTTCGTTGGACTGGCGGATGGTCCGCAGGGGAATCCACACGGTGCCCACCATTGTGTCCCAGATGAGACCCTTGTTCCACACCTCTACCGTCAACCCCAAATCCAGGCGGTTAATCTCACTGTGGAGAGAGGGGAGGGGCATGAAGGGGTAGGAGTGAGGGGTGAAGTCTCAGAAAAGTCCGTTCACCTGCCTTATCTTAGGACACACAGCCAACTGGAATTCAACCCCAGGCCTGGATGAGGCCTACCAGGAAGGTAACACAGTAATCCTTGTTTTACAGAGGGGAAACTGAGGCCAAAGGGTTAAGTTACATGCTCAGGGTATCACAGCAGAACCCGGGAAGGTATCACCTCTCCTGAACCCCCAACTCCCTTGGCTCTTCCTGGAGCCCTCAGGCCCAGAGATACTGGCTAAGGGAGGAAGAGGCTCAAACACTCTCTGTGGCTCCCTATGACCCCAGGATAAGGGCATTCAGGATGCCTCCCTCCTTCGCAATGTCACCTCCATCCAATCATATGGGGACAACCCTGAGAATGTGAATGATACCACCTCTAGGCACTTTTCTCGCAGGACCCACCCTGGAAATAGGCAGATTGGGAGGAAAACCCTGGGGAATGTCCCCCTTCACTGAATTTACCAATCCACCGGAGATGTGTCTCGAGGACTGTTCTCCTTGAGGGTATCTGTGACCTGGTCGTTCAGTGACTGGTTTCCAGGGGGCTGGGGGCCACACTGTCTCTCCTCTTCCACATCTTCCCTAGAACCTGCAACTCCCACCCTTTCCTCAAATTCCTCTGCTCCGGGGTCCCAACTCTGGGTTCTCTCATGGCCTCCACCACTGCTCGTCCCCAGTCAGGCTCTGCTCGGGGGGTTGAGGGCTGCCTGGGTCCAAATCCCAGCTCTGCCAGGTATGAGCTGTGTGACACTGAACAGGTGGCTTTGCCTCTCCAGCCTCTGCCTCATCTGTAAAATGAGGATGGAAATAACGCCCTCCCTCCCAGGCTTGTGTGTGTGTGTGTGTGTGTGTGTGTGTGTGTGTGTGGCGGGGCAGGGGGGGTTGATTTAATCAAAGCCTTAGAAGGGGGCCTGGTATTTTGTTGGTCATCATCAGAGAAGATGGGGTGTCATACGGGGCGCCTGCGTGGCTCAGTCGGTTGAGCGTCTGACTTTGGCTCAGGCCATGATCTCACAGTTTGTGGGTTCGAGCCCCGCGTCAGGCTCTGTGCTGACAGCTCAGAGCCTGGAGCCTGTTTCGGATTCAGTGTCTTCCTCGCTCTCTGCCCCTCCCCCACTCGGGCTCTGTCTCTCTCTCTCTCTCTCTCTCTCTCTCTCTCTCTCTCTCAAGAATAAATAAACATTAAAAAAATTTTTAAAAAGGAAAAGAAATCACACAAATGACTAAAATAACACTTGGTGGCTAGACCTGAAACTGCCCTCCAATTGAAGCTTGGGGCTGTGGTCAGGGAGGGCTTCCCTGAGGAGGAGACACCGGTGAGACCCAAAGGACAAGATGGAGCCTGCCAGGTCCGGTGGGAGCGGTGGGGGAGAGGAGAGAAGAGCAAGTGCAAAGGCCCTGGGGCAGGAACAAGCTGAGCCAGAAGAGATGGAGGCAGATGCTGGCAGGAGATCACAGGGGCCGGGGCCTGGAAAGGGGGTGCTAGGGAGAAGAGTGTGGGTTTTGTTCTGAGGTTCACAAACCATGAGCCATGGGCAAGTTTAGAGAGTGACAGGATGTGATTTGCAGTTTTAAAAATATCCCCCTGGCTGCCTGGAGGAGAACAGATTGCCGGGAGGCAGGAGGCGGGCAGCAGCAGGAGGCCAGGGGCGGAGGCTGGCGGGCAGCGGGGACTTGGCTGGTGGCCACGGAGATCAAGAGGCAAAGCCGATGGCTGGCCGCGGGGCCGCGGGAGGAGGGAGTGGAGTCCCAGACAACACCCAGGTGTCCGGCTCGCTCTGTGGGACCAGCAAGCGAGGCGACAGGCCCTGCTAACTCAGTCACTGCAGACTCACAACATGAAATCCTGTTCCCAGCTGGGCTGGCTGCCCCGCACCGCGATGGTCGTGCTCTTGACATTTTGCACCTTCAGGGTCACATACGTGTTGAATTTCTCTGCAGTGGTGAGAGCAGGGGTCAGCACAGGGGCCCAGGGAGTCCCCATGCCCCTTCCCAAGCTCTAGACGACCCTCTTATAACCCCCTGGGGTCTCCGTGTGCTTGGGGCCACGGTCTAATAACCAGGTCCAATAGACGGAGCTGTTTCTGTGCCTACAGCCCAGGCTGACCCCCAGAGCCCCTCCCCCACCCCAGTCCCTCAGAGCATAAGGGAAGGGCCTTGTGGGATTTGGGGGTGCCTAATCTAGCTGCTTAGAAATGACTACGTTCAATAGCTTTGGTTTTTCAGATGGGAGGACTGAGGCCCTGGAGAGGGGAACCAAAATGACAGTAAGGGGCGCCTGGGTGGCTCAGTCAGCTGAGCGACCAACTTCGGCTCAGGTCATGATCTCACAATTTGTGGGTTCGAGCCCCACGTCGGGCTCTGTGCTGACAGCTCGGAGCCCGGAGCCTGCTTCGGATTCTGTGTCTCCCTCTCTCTCTGCCCCTCCCCCACTCATGCTCTGTCTCTCTCTGTTTCAGAAATAAGTAAACATTAAAAAATATTTTGTTTAAATGACAATAAGAAATTCCCTTCGCCTCTCCGAGCCTCACTTTTCCCACCTGTAGCCTGATCTAGGAGTCCCAGCCTGTCTCTTAGGATCCTGGGAAGGGCTGTTGGCTCAGGGTGAGCCCCACCTCCACTGGATTCTCCAGGGGATGGCTGGGGAGACTCTGGGATCACAAGCCAGGTCTGACACTCTGTGATGCTCAGCAGACAGGCAGCCCAAGTCCCCTGTCACTGGCTCCGACCCCCTCCCCTATGTCTCCAAGACACAGACAGACAGACGACACAGGACAGGGCAGGAATAGAGGCCACTTACCTTGGGCACCATCAAACTTGGCTTTTTTGACTGTGGAGAGAGACAGAGATAGGGAAAGGAGATGGGGAGAGAGGTGGGGAGAAGAGAGAGACAAAGACACCGAGATGGAAATAGAACAAGACAGGCAGAGAGGACAGGGACGCAGAAACAGAGAGACAAAGAAAGGCAGAGACAGAGAGCAAAAGGGACCGATGGAGAGATCAAACAGAAAACAAAAACGAGAGAGAGAGAGAGAGAGATGAAATCAGAGACAGAGACAAGAAGAGGAGAAACAAGAAGGAGAGGAGGGAGGCAGGGATGAGAGGGAGAGAGAGAAGCCATCAGACAGATGAGCACAGACAGACCTCAGGGTTGAAGGAAATTTGGACCCTGGGAGCAGTTTCTGCCCCCTTTCCCCCCCCATCAAACCCCCCCCCCAGGGCCTCCCCCACCTCTGGCTGTGCCTTTCCCCACAATTGAACAGGATTCAAAAGAAGGAGCTGGGCAGGGCACAGGAGAGGCCTCCCACAGGAAGCCCTCCAGGATTGCAGCAGTGAGAGACCAGTTAGGGAGGAAGAGAGGTGGGGAGAGAGGAGAAAGGCGATCTCCAGTGACCCCCGTCCCCCTGTCAGGCCACTGAGGCTTCTCCCCCAATTATCCAGCTCAGTCTGTCCTACCAAATGCCCCGCCCCGGGGTTGAGGTCTCATGTTCAAATGGGACTGAGCGATGTTGCACAGAACCGCCCTGAGACCTGGCTCCCTAGCGCACAGAGAGACATCCGAACCCCCGCTGGGAGGTTGTTACGGCTTGTCCAGCCCAACCCGCCGATGAAACGTGAAACCCAAATATGTGTTGGGTCCCAGGTGGTCCAGTCTCTCCGGGTTTCACGTAACCCCACAGTCCCAAGGGAGTCAAAGCAGTGCCACTCTTCCCTGGGTCTTCTCACGGGATACGGAACTTACATTCAACATCTCTCACACCCTGCAGCTGCCCCCGACGTCCTTCCCCGCCACCCACTCTGTATCTCCACCCAAACCCTGCTTCCCCACTGAGCCCTTCCGCGTGTTTTCCACCATCCTTTCCCCTTGTTCCTTTTCGATGTACGTTGTGGTTCCCACGGGCAACACACGCACATTTTGCAAACTCCAAGGCGCCCCAGAGATTGGTACGCGACGAGAACAAGGCTCTTCCCACCCCAGGCCCCACAGTCCCCGCCTTGTGCAGTCAACACTACCGGTTCCTTCCAGGGCTACAGGCACACAGTCTGTGATCCAGCAGCCGTGTGCACGTGTGCGTTATTTTACTTCCTACGCCAATGGCAGCGTTCGACACCCTCTGTAGAAATTTGCTGTCTCTCGGGACGGACTGAAGAGTTTGTGCAAGCGAGTCGGAGGATAAATTCCTAGAAACGAAGTTGCGCGGGTTGCTACTCTTTCTTTTATTCTGAGAGCCAAGTTCAGCCCTTTTGTGGGCAAATGCCATGGCCTCCCATCTTGGGGTCATATCTCTGTCCACATCGCTTGAATTTCTGTCTTGCAAAAGCGCCCAAAAGATACCAATGAAGGGAGAATTCCCATCAAGGGTGGGGGTGGGGTGGGGGCCGTGGGGGTGGGGGGGATTGACTTCCAGAAGCACAGCGAACCCCCCGGAGTTGCAGAGCAGGAGGGAGAATGATCACCTTCCCATACTACTGCCCAACCCCCACCAAACTTGAAATGCAGATGGGCTGTGCATCGTACTCAACACCCCTGGGTTTGGGTTTGGCAGGTTGAAGTGCGGAAGGAGCCCTCGGCTGGACCTTGGGAGAGGCGAGCACTGGTTCAGCACGGAGTCAGGTGGAGTCAGGTTCAGCCTATGGTGCTGTGTGAACCCGGGCAGGTGAACCCCCTTCTCTGGGCTTACTCCATCTCTCTCTTTCTGGTTTTCTAGATCTGGCTTTCTCTCTGTCTCTCTGTCTCCTGCTGTATTTTATCCCTGCGTCTCTGTTTCTCTTTGCCCCACACCCCAAATCAGTCACCGTGTCCTGTCTTCCTCACCTTCCCATTCAAGACACGTAACGGCATGGGCAAAGGCCCCTCTCTTGGGTACATGCTCAGCTCCTGTCCCACTGCCCCCTTCTTGCACCCTCAGCCCCACTCAGCCCACAGGGAGCTCAATCACCCAGCTCCTCACCCCTGGGGCCGAGTGAAGCTCAGGGACCCTTAGGAGGGTGCCCTCTTTGAGGTCTCTGAGCTCTGCCCCTGGTCTGTAAAAAGGGACCCGGAGCAGGAGCCGCAGGTGTCCTTCCTAGGGGACCCCCTGCTTGCACTCCTGTTGATTGGGAAGGGTGGAGCAGTGATGGCGCAGAGGCAGGGGCCTGGCAGTGAGGAAGGACGGAGAGGGACACAGAGGCTGAGAAAGGGGCACGCACAGAGGGATCAGTCTGGCAGAAGGAAGTAAAGGAGAGGGGGAAGGGGGGTAGATAACAAGTCATGAGAGTCAGAGACAGAGACGCAGAAAGAGGGAGACACACAAATGTCCACCAGGGAGGGCCAGAGAAAAGGCGAGGCAGAGTGGGGAGAGAAGGGTTGGAGGGGGATCTGAGGGGCTGACTGGTGTCTAGCCTGGCCTGGCCCGCAGATCCCGCTCTGGGTCCCCTCACCAGGGACAGAGCTCAATGAGGAGGCCAGTCATCCAAAGTTTGTCCTTCATCCTCTCCTCCTGGGTGGGGATGGCGTGACTCTCCCTGTCTCCATTCTCCTGGTTCTGTTTCTCTTCCTCCCCTTCTCCCCCATCTGACTGTCTCTGTCTCTCTTGTCCCCTCTCCCTCAGAGTACCCACTTTCTTCCTCCTTAAGCCTCAGGAGGGCCAGAGCTTCACCCTTGGGCCAGAGGGTGATGAGCTCAGCTGGGGCCCACCAGCAGTGAACTGATTGCTAGAAGGCTCTAGCCCCGAAAGCTGTGGCCAAGCTCTGGCTTCCAGGACCCTTGAGTGGGTCCAGGATGAGGACATCACTGTATATTCCTTACTGAGAACTCAGAGGCAGGAGGGGGAGATTCGGGGGCGGGGCTCAGAAAGAAACGTGGTGGGGGGGGATCAAGGAAGGGGCTCAGAGTGGGGAGAAGGACTCAGGGGGGGCATGGGGTATAGGGTGAGGGGTGCAGGGGAGAGGACTAGGAAAGGAAGCTCGAGAGCTGGAGGAAGGTCTTGGTGGGGAAGGGGGACTCAGGAAGGCAAAGAAGCGATGTCATCAGGGGAGGGGCTCAGAGGAGGAGAGGCCTCAAAGGGAGGGAGGGGTCTCAGGGCAGGAACCAAGTCTAGGTCCTTCTGTCTTTACCCCTCAGTAAACGGTCCCAGTCACTGTCGCCTTCACCACCCAGGCACTGTCGCCTTCACCACCGTAGTCATCACGTCTCTGCCCCGCCACTCCCTCCCAACCCCCCTCGCTGCAGTATCGGGGTCAGCGGGGCGGAAGCGCCACCCCTCCCCGCGAGCTCCTGGTCACACGCACAAGGCTATTTATAAAGTGAGCACAGAGGGCGTGGGCGACGAGACAGCTGGGAGTGACGGCTGGGGGAGGTGCACACTGCTGGCCCCTCTGACAGGAGGCTGGGGAGACACCGTGTCACGACGGTCAGCAGCCTGCGCGGCCCTTGGGGACCCCATCAGCCCTGACTGATTAATGTGGTTACACAGGCAGATGCTGGCCAGGGCAGAACCCGGGAAGGCAGGCACAGGGGCTCAGGCTTCAGGACTTCCATAGGCGCCGCCAGGCTCTGCATCTAGGAAATGGAGCGAAGTAGGGCCTTCTCCCCTTCCTCCTCCCCTCTTTCTCCCTCCTCCTCCTGCTCCCCTTTCTTTTTAGTCATTATTAGAATCGGCATTATTATACTGCCATTGCTACTGTTTTTATTATTACTCTCACCAGCATCATTACTATTTGTATTATTTGGTTGGATTCTAAGTGTGCCCCTGGTCTGGACAACCCTGGAATTGAGGGGCACCTCCTCCTTGACTTGCCAGGCCTGGGGTGGGGGCGGGGGAAGCGTTGGACCCCAACCATCAAGGGAAGCATCAGGAAGCTCCCTTCAGAACATGCTCACTGGGTGTTGGCAAACACTACAAGATGGGGTAGGAGGGAAGGGAGGCATAAAGGATTCAGAAATTGATCTTGAGATATTTGGCGGTTTTATGCGTGATGCCAACGGCCTATATGAGTTTTGTGATAAGGGCACTGGCCCCACTGGCTTTCATCTGGGAGAGAGGACTCCTACCTTCCATTAACGGAAATAAGCCAGAGCCCAGGTAGGGATTTCAGTGTAAAAAAACAAACACACCAAGAACCTCGACAGAGATTTCTGTGTTTTTTAGCCACTGCCACTTAGAACTAGGCCTGACATATAGTAGGTGCTCATCAAATAGTGTTCAATGAAACAATGACATAATTTCCTCCTCCAGCAGCCCTGTGGTGAGATCTGCCCCCTGGGCGCCGTCCGCGGTGTGGCACGCTCGGTCCCTGCTCTGTCCAGGGTGCTGAACCCCTTTCCCTGGTTTACCTCCAATGAACTTGGCACGCCTTTTTACTTCCTGTGTACTACTGAGCCCTCCTCAGGCCTGAGAACGCAGTGAGCTCTCAGGAAACGTCCTACACCCACGGACCTCCTTCCCGAAGGCTTTTAGTCCCCATTAATAAAAACACCATCATTGATTTTTCCTGTCATTGGCTCACACTTACGGAACTTTTCCACAGGCCAGGCAGCATGCCAAGGGCTCTGTGTGCCTCATCTCACTGGAGAGTTCTAGCAAACCTAGGCAGTGGGTGCGATTAGTGTGCCCATTCTACAGATGGGCGCGCTGAGGAATGAAGAGGATACAGGACTTGCCAGGAAGCAGTGGATTTAAGGGTTCAAACCTAGGCCTGTTGGACTAGGGATGTCCCGGTTGGCACTCACAGAGTAAGCCCATTGTATGTGGGAGGAAAGTGAGGCATGGGTTAGGAGAGGGACTAAGACTGCAGCCCTGAAGATGAATCAGAGCCAACCCTGGAGGGCATCCTATGATTATAGTGAGAGCAAAGACTCAGAGGCAACCTCCCCTGGCTAGGTGGTCATCAGAAATAGGGCAGCCAGGGGAAGAGGGGTTTGTGAGGGCTTCCTGGGAGAGAAGCAGAGGGAGAGGCCACAATGAATGGGGGAGATAATGACATGTCTCTTTATTGAGTGAGTGAAGGAAGACGGTGATCCCAGGACAGACTCTCACCCCATGAAAGGGAGGGTTAGTCTTCTTCCAAGAAGAGGTTCAACCTTCACCCTGAATTCCCAGTAGGCTGTGGAGTCAGACAGCTACATCTCTAACTCTGTGGCACTAAGCAAGTTGTCGAACCTCCCTGAGACTCAGTTTTCCTTATCTGTAAAATGGATGTCTGTAAGGATTAAAGAGGGCAATGGGCATAAAAGTCCTCAGCACCGTACTTACAGAATGCCGGATAAACGGGGCTTATTGTTGATATTATTAGTTTTGAGGCAAACTCACCCATGTACACATTTGCTAATTGTATGCAATATGCATTCACCAAATATTTCTGGAGACTTTAAAACCATTGAGTGGCCTGGCCAAATGCTGTAAGGCACATAAGAAGGTCTAGAACGGAATCCCCACCACCATGATTTTGCACGTGCTATTCCTTCCACCTAGAGCACCATGTCCCTCCTGCTTAGCTCCCCCTCATCTTCTGAGACCCAGGCGAATGTTGAGGGTCAAGGGGCGGGGGGAGGTAAAAGCATGCTTCCTAAAGGGAGAGAGCTCTGGATCCTACCTTCCCTGCCTCCCTCAGCCCTTCCCTTTCCCTCCCACTCTGACCGCACCAGCCTGAGGCCAGGAATAGTGCTGGGTCTCCAGGAACGGTGCCTACCATATAGTAGGTGTTCAACAAATGCTTGCTGAATAAATATATGAATGAATTCATGAAGGAGCAAGGTTCCTTTGCAGACTCAGGACTCTGCCAAGCCCTACCAAGTGGATGGGGTTGGGGCAGCAGTGGGACTCCATATAGATAGATAAAGAAATGAGGGGGGGGCAAAGGCAAGACCTGAACAAGATGATCTCCTGTATGTTGGTGTCAGATAAGTATGCAAGAGTTTACATTTGTGTGTGTTTGCATGTGCATTTGCTCATGTTACCAGGGAAGGCAGGCGTGCGTACATGGGTGTACGTGTATGTGTGGAGGGACACGTGCTTATGTGTACCACCTGAATGCAGGTGATGATGTGCACATGCATGTCAGGAAGTGCAGTGTGACTGTATGGGCAAAATGCTGGTATGTGTGAGTTTAGGTATCTGCGGGCTTGCAGGTGATGTGTTAATTAGAAACCTATGTTGTGGCGTGTGTGTGTGTGTGTTACACTGTTATATGGAATGTGCATTTGCTTACTTGTGTGTCCACATATAAGTGTGTATTTTGTGAATCATCATTCGTCTGTTCAAAGGGGCTGCTTTGAATGTCCAGACAAGCGTCATCATGCATGTGGCTTTGGTATGTGTACATGTGTGTGTTTCTTGGGATTGGGGCCCTAACAGGTATACGTAGGTACAGGCCTGTGTGTCAGGGCATGGGTTGACCTCTATGTGACATGGATATTGTGAACACGCATCACACATGTTTGGATACATCCGTGTGTGCATACATGCACGTGGACACACATGCCTGTATTTTGGGGACCATGTGTACATGGCAGAGTGGCTGTGTCCCATATACATATGTGTGTTCACACACACACACATGAATGTGCACACGTGTCCACGAGTGAGTGTGCATTCATAGGTGGTCTTCGTGGAATCTTGGTGGGTCCTGGGCATTTCTGTCCACACAGGCTGAGTCTGTGTATGAACGTTCCAGTGCGTGTGTGCATAGATACGGGCAAACATGAGTGGGCTCCCGGTTGGGGGTACAGCTATTTCCTCAACTCCAAGGATGAGTTCAAACCCATGGAAAGCCCTCCCAGCCCAGCTCCACTGCTGCCTTGCCCCCTCTCCCTTTTCATTGACCCCCTCAGCCCCAGCGGGCATCACTCCCACCCCTCCCAGCATTTCACCCCTCTCCACTTCTCCTGGTCTCCCCCTCAGCGTTATTCCATTCCCCATACATCTCAGGGTTTTACTCCCCACCCCACCCTGAGCCTTGCCCCTCCCAGCAACACCCCTCCACTCTACTGGTGATTCCCTTCCTGTAAGTTCCACAGAATCATCCAACACAATTCTTCCCCCAGGCCTCCGTTTCTGGAAGCCTCATCCCTCTTCACACCACCCCCACAGTCCAGCCTCCAGTTTGCGTCAGAGTCAAGGGTGAGATTCCCCCCCCCCCCCCCCCCCCCCCACACACAACTAGGCAAACCTTCCAGAGGAAGCCAACTTGGAGGATGTGAGGCAGGGAGCAGAGAGAATCAGGAATAACACACCAAGTGGCCCCCTCCTCCAGTGCCAGCCCCCCCTGGCCCCACTGCTGGGCAACTTAGAGGAGGGGGAGAGGCCAATAGGGGTTTGGACGTTCACCTCTGCCTTTCCTTTAGTCAGAGTCAGGGGGTCTCCTCCACTTCCCCACTCCCCTAACTCTATAGGCCAGGGGGTAGTTGGCTTTCAATCTTATGGGCCCTTGGGCCACCATCAGCCACGGCAGGGAACGAGCTCAGGGAAAGGAGGTCCTTGTCCCTTTAAGAACACCCGCGTCCACGCCTGCCCAGCCCCGCGCGACAGCACTCTGGAAGCCACCGCGGCAGGGAGCGGGCGGGCGGGGCAGGGTTTGTGAATGGAGCGACGGAGGGGGAGGGGAAGAAGGGGGAGGGGCGACGGGGGCGGTTCCCGGCTCTGGGCCTGTTCACTGGGGTCCAGGTGGAGACCGGGGTTCAGCGCTCGCTCTCTCTCGCTCTCTCGCTCTCTCTCTCGCTCTCTCTCTCTCACACACACACACACACCACACTCCCCGCTGTCTAAGATCTCCCAAAGCCTAACATCTCAGGCCTCACCAACACACTTCTTCCGAGACCTCAGCCTTCTTGGAGGGAGTAGGTGTGAGTGAGGGAGATGGACCCCAGTCCTTGAAACCCAAGGTGGAGATCTCTGTAAGCCTTGAGCCCCTGTTCACCACCAACCCCACCATCCAAGGTCTCCCAGAGCTTGAGTTCTCAGCAGGAATGCCCGGGATGCCTGAGTCCTGGTGGGCTCTCTTCACCCCTACCCAACCTCACAAGTGGGGGACAGCGATCATGCCCCTCCTGTGTCTCTTTCCTTCCTTCCCCGCCCCAACGCAGAGCGTGGGCCTGGGCGTGGGCCTCCGTGCAGATGGCGTTCGAGCCCCAAAATAGCTCCACCCCACTTCTCCCTCCCTCCATTCGGCGCAAAGTGGGTGAGGTGAGGATGTCGGGAGGGGTGCAGGCCGGCACTGCACCCTCAAGGGGTCAGCTTCCAACGGGGGAAGCCGGTTAGGCGTTCTGGAGTGCTGGAGGGGGCAGGGAGTGGGGAGACCCTCAGGCGATTCCCCCAGCCCCCACTGGAGAGTCCAAAGAGTTAGCGGGGAAATGTGTCCCCAGACACCAATCACAAGCCTCTCAGGACCTACGGAAGGGTCTCCCTAGCCCCGACCCCGGCCTCTTCACACCCAAAGCTGAGGGATTCCTAGAGGTCGCCTGGGCAAGCCCCCTTACCCAAATCTTACATGCTCGAGGCTTGGAGACCCCTCCCCTCCGCACTCCTCTTCCAATTCCGAGCCCAGCCCACGTCCCTGAGAAGCCACAGCCCAGCCCACCGGCGCAAGACTCCCTCCAAGTACCCTACAGGATTCATTCGAACTACCCAGCCCAGCCCCTTCCACACTTAGTAACCTGGTCTACATAGACTCCCCATCTAGACTGTCTCCAGATAGAGCCCCGGATCCCGGCTGGCGTCCACGCGGGCCTCCGCATTCAGCCATGTCCGTACGACCCCCAGCAGCGGCCACTAGGACCCTCTGAGAATGCAGCTACCTCTACCTGGATCACCCTCTCCGGCTCCCTGACGCGTCTACAAGGGCCACCCTCTCAAAAGTCCAGGCTCGTGTACTCAGGTCACCCCCTCAGGAGTCCAGCCGCATCCACACGGACCCCGAGCCCGGTCCGGGTCCACACCGGTCCCCAGCCTCGCAGCCTCGCCTCCTACCTCCAACGCAAAGTAGAGACATGTCTCCGGGGTCGCCGGCGGGCCGGCTCTGTCAGGTGTTGCTTAGCGGCCACTGGGCTGGGGCATGGCCGGGGCTGCAGCCCGCGCTCAGCTCACGCCGGGGCCCGGCCTCCGCCGCCGGCCATCTTGGTTCAGCACCGGGGGTGCGGACAGCTCCTGACGTGGTGCTGATGTGGAGCGGGCGGGCGGAGCCCAGGGACGCCTGATGGGGCGGGGGCGCTGCAGGCTTGGGGGAGCTTTAAAGGGCCGGAGCCGGGTGGGGGCTCCCCGTCCCCAGGGCTTCAAGACCAGAGGGACACAGGGCAGCCCCATTCAGGTTCCCTACAGGCTCTGCGTGTTTTCGTCTCTGCTGGAGTCGCTTTGTGGGCTCTCTGTCTCTTGAGTCCTTTGCTGTCTCTGCTTTCCCTGAGTATCTCTGTTCCTCTGTTTCTGTCTACGTCTGTCTCATTGCCGGCTTCTCTATTTCTTTCTCTCCCTGTGTCTCTCTGCTCCTCTTTTTGTCTCCCCATCTCTCGGTCATGTGTCTCCCTCTGAGCATTTTTTCTGTTCAGTCTCTCTGCCTCTCCCTGTCTATATCTCCCTCTGAGTCTCTGTTTCACTGTTTAAGTCATTCAGGCTGTGGATCTTTGCATACACTCAGACTGGATCCTGTCCTTCACTCCCCTGTGTAACTGGCAAACCCCTATTCATCCATCAACGCCCAGATTGAACACCCCCTCTTCCAGGAAGCCTTCACTGACTCCGCCACACTGGCCCTTTACTTACCTTCTGGACTCCCCCAGCTCCCAACTCTTCCCGTGGCTCAGCCCTGACCCCAACACATCTCTGCTCCCCGCCCTCCCCACTTATCTAGCTGGGCAGTTCCCTATGGGTTCAACACAATGCTGCTGGTTTTCATCCACGTTTCTGCAAGTGTGACTGTAATACGTGCAGTTTTCACTATTCTACAGTATTCTCTTGATTTACTATACCTCTGGTTATCTATTTTCCATCTGATAGATCTTAAGATTGTTCCCACTTTGAGTTTATTTTTTTTAAAAAAACTTTTACAATCATTCTCAGAAATGTAGGCTGGTGCATGAGTAAGACTGCTGGATCATAGGACACCCACATGCTCTGCTTCACGAGATAACATCAACTTGTTTTTTCTGACGTAACTCCAACTATTTCTATCACGCCAGCACCATATAAGCATTCAGTTGCCCCACACCCTTGTCAACACTTGGAATACTCTCAGTTTTTGGATCATGCCAAAATGGAGGGGGAGAAGCGGTGCCTCATTTTGGTTTTGATTTGCTTTCTCATTGCTCATGAGGGGGACCTTTTCCTGTGAGTATTGGTTTCTTCTTAGGGTGAAATTCTTGTTCAAGTCTTTCATCCGTTTTTAAAAATGTGACTGTCATTTCCTACTCGTGTAGTTCTTTATCCATATTAGACACAACCCCTTTGTTGGTTTAATGCGTGCTGTAAAACTTTTTTAAAGATCTCCAGTTTTGTGGCTGGTTGCCATTCTATTTATGGTATCATTTTCTGAACAGAGGCTCTTAATGTTTTAAATAAACTTTTTATTTTGGAAAAAATTTAGACATACAGAAAAGTTGCAGAGGCACTGTTTGTATATACTCTTTACCTAGTTTGTCCTAATGTTAATGTCTAACATGTGGTTACAGGGTTATACGTGTCAAAAGTAAAACATTTACATTGGTGCTTATTATTAACTAAATCGCAAACTTTATATTTCACCAGTTTTTCCAACTAATGTTCTCTTCCTAGGCAATGATCCAATCCAGGATCCTACACCGCATGTAATGATCATATCTCCTTGGTCTCCACCTAGCTGTGATTTCTTAGTCTTTCTTATTAGTCATGACCTCTACAGATGTAAAGAGTACTTGTCAGGCATTTTGCAGAAAGTCACTTGATTTGTGTTTTTCTGATGCTTTCTCATTATGAGACTGGGGTTATGGGCTTGAGGGGAAGATCACAGAGATGGGGGTCCTTCGTTGTCACAAGAGGTCCCTGATGCCCACATGACATCACAGGGACTGTTAACTTTGACCATCAGGGTTAGATGTTGTCTGCCACGCTCATCCACTGTCAACTTACAATTTTTCTCCTTCCCTGTTCTGTTCTTTGTAAGCAAATCACTAAGCTCAGCCCACCCTGAAGGGGAGGGAATTATACTCCAGCTTCTGGAGCAGGAGTATCTAGGGAGATCTTAATTTTAAATTCCTTTTTTACTGCTGTAAAATACACATAACAAAATGTACCATTTTAACCATTTTAAAGCGTACAATTCAGGGGCCTTTTTTTACATTCACAAGGTTGTGCAACCACCACCTCTATCTAGTAATAACATATTTCTGTTACCCTAAAAAGAAAAAGAAACCCCATCCCCGTTGGCAGTCGCTCCTCACCCCCCCCCCCCAGCCCCTTGAAGCCACCAATCTGCTTTCTGTGTCTATGGATTTAATTTAAGATTCTTCAGCCTTAATCTTTTTCTTTGCAGTAAAGAAAATGCAAGACACTGTTATTTCCTCCTTACCAGCTCTTTATCTCTCATTTATTTTTCCTGCCTTATGGTGCAGACCGGTGCAATCTCAAGACATCATGGTAACTGACATCCTTGCCTTGTCTGCCCATCTTAAAGAGAACATTTCCATGTTCACCACCAAATAGGATATCTGCTGGAAGTTTTTAATAGAAAATCAAGTTAAAGAGGTCGACTTCTATTTCCAGTGTGCTAAGACTTTTTTTTTTTTTTTTGCTTTTACCACACTCAGGTGGTGAATTTTAGCAATTAGATTTCCCAATCTTTACTGGGTGTATCTTAACTTTTTGCCTTTAATCCGTTCATGTGCAGTACCTTCTCTCTATATGGTTGACATGCATTGGTCTCTCCTGTTGTCTGTCTCTTTCATCCACACATCACCTCCTTCTATCTGCCAAAGCCTCTGATAAACTCATCATTCAGATCCAATTAATTTTAAGCCCCACCGTTCTGTTTTGCTGCCGCCAACAGCTCTGCTAAGTCCAAAGCTATTTGAGCTATGTCATCCCTCCATTTAATCATACCATGCGGGGGCACCTGGGTAGCTCGGTCCGTTGAGCGTCCAACTCTTGATTTCAGTTCGGGTCATGATCCCAGGATCATGGGATCAAGCCCCGCCTCGGACTCCACACTGAGCATGGAACCTGTTTGAGATTCTCTCTCGATCCTTCTGCCCCTCTTCCCGGCTCATGTTCTCTCTCTTAAAAGAAAAAAAAAAATTATGCCATGCTGCCTCCATGTTTCTCTTGCTCTCTCTTGTCTGCAGCTCCCTCTTTCCCTGGCTCCTCTTACTAGGCATCTGCATTCAAGTCTTTGGCAAACTCATACTCACTCTCTGTCCTTCTATCCCTCTTCTCTTGGCTTCCGGTGTTTAACTCTCTTTACCATGCTATGAAGCCCACAGAGAAAAGTGAGTCAAAGACAAATAATGGGAGATAGTACACAGACTGGTGAGAAGTACAACTCCTCCCCCTCGTGCACACACACAGGAAAAGACCCACCTATCACCCAACATGCGTGTGTGTGTGTGTGCGTGCACACACACACACACACACACCTCCCAGGAAACGAGCTCCTGGCAATCCCCAGGGGCCCAAACTTGCTCATACCCCATGCCAAGAGCTTCTCCTGTAGCCCCAATCCAGGGGCAACCATGCTTGGTCTTCAAATAAATTCCCAGTCTTTACTGGGTATATCTGATGTCTCTCGTACTATACAAAGTTCCACAGAGGGGAAAGATATGAATGGGATGTCAATCAATTTGTTAAGCAAGTGTTTGTTGGCACCTCCTGGAGGCTGGGGACTACTCTTGTCATCAGGTTCCACCGAGTGACATGGATCCTAGCATGAACATTGGCAACAAATAAGCCTTCACAGCAGGCATCAAGGAAAATTATGAGGAAAACAGGGAAGGTCCCATGATAGACAGGAATGGTGCAGGATGGGAAAAGTGCCATCTGGAGGAGTAACACATGAGCGGAGACCCAAAGGAAGAGAAGGACCCAGGCATGGGAAGAGATGGGGAAGGGACATTCAAGACAGCAGAGCAGGTGCAAGGGCCCTGAGGTAGGACCTTGTCTGGTGTATTGTAGGAATACCAAGGAAGCTGGTGTGGCTGGAACAGAGTGAGAGAGAAGGGAGATGGGCAGGGGTAAAGACCACGTGGAGTTTCCTGGCTACGGGGAGGAGCGTGAGTTTTACTTGAAGCGTAATGAGAGCCATGAGATGGCTTTGAGCAGAGAAAGGACATGATCTGATTTATGATTTAAGAATCCCTGAGGCACCTGGGTGGCTGAGTCAGTTGAGCATCTGACTCTTGATTTCGGCTCAGGTCATGATCCCACATTTCATGGGATCTGTGCTGACAGTGCAGAGCCTGCTTGGGATTCTCTCCCTCCCTCCCTCTCTTGCTCTCTTTCTCAAGATAAATAAATTAAAACTTAAAAAAAAAAAAAAGAATCCCTCTGAGACTGCCAGGGGAGCAGGGATGGTCGTGGCAAGAGTGTAGGTGACAGGAGGCCAGAGCAGCACCCAGGTGGCAGGTGACAGGGCCTATGGGAATGGAGGGATGGTTCAGGTTCATTCTGGAGTCTCAGTCTAAAGTACCAGCCAATGAACCGGACATGTGGAGGTAAGGGAAGAGAAGTGACAAGAATGGGTCCAGATTTGGGGTCTGGGAGGCTGGGTGATGGTGGAGACATCTGCCATACCGATGAAGAAGTGGAAGAAACTTCGGGGTAAGAAACTGAGACCTATGTGTTGGGCTTGCTGAGTTGGAAATGCCTGCAAGGCACCCAATGGGAATACCCAGTGCAGGTGACTATTTGAGTCTGAAACTCGGGGCTGGCGATACAAATGGGATAGACATCAACATGAGATGGGTGTGGCCACTTGGGCCCAGAGGGTAGAGAGAGGGTAAAGGGCCCCCTGGCTCCCAGGACCAGAACTAAGACTTCAAACCCAGGGTCCACCTTCCATATGTTTGTCCATCCCCAGCGGTAGTCCCTGTGACCAGGGCAGCAAGCACTGGTAAGTGCAGGGAACATGGAACTCAGAGCCCCTGGGACTGCCATACAGTCTCATCTCCCCCCCAACGTTTCTATTGTCAAC